CCAGGATCCACCGGGTTTTACCGGGATCCACCGGGTTTTACCAGGATCCACCAGGTTTTACCGGGTTTTACCAGGATCCACCGGGTTTTACCGGGATCCACCGGGTTTTACTGGGATCCACCGAGCTTTACTGGGATCTACTGGGCTTTACCAGTATCCACTGGTCTTTCCCGGCATCCAGCGAGCTTTACCGTGATCCACTGGGTTTTACCGGGATCTGCTGGGTTTTACTGGGATCTTCCGATCTTTCCTGGATTCCACCCGGCTTTACCGAGATCCACTGGGCTTTACTGGGACCTACCGGGCTTTACCGGGATCTACCGGGTTTTACCAAGCTTTTCCGGGATTCACTGGTTTCACCGATCTTTACCAGGATCTACCGGGCTTTACCGGGATCCACCGGGTTTTACTGGGATCCACTGGGCTTTACTGGGACCTACCGGGCTTTACTGGGATCTACCGGGTTTTACCAATCTTTCCCGGGATTCACCCGGTTTTACCGGGTTTTACCGTGACCCACCGATCTTTCCGGGACGCCCCCCATCTCCACCCCCATAACCCCCACCCCCATTTCCCGCAGGCGCGGCCGTGGGGATGGCGAAGCTGCTGGTGCCGCTGGTGGTGCTGGGCGCCGTGTCCGGGGCGGGGGTCCCGGTGTCACCGCCGTCCCCTCGCTGTCCCCCGCGCTGCCTTTGCCCCGCGGCCGCTCCCAGCCCGACGCTGCTGTGCGCCCGCACGGGGCTGCTGGCGGTGCCGCCCAGCCTGGACCGCGGCGCCGTGGAGCTCCGCCTCGCCGATAATTTCATCGGCGCCGTGGGTCGCTCCGATTTCGCCAACATGAGCAGCCTGGTGCACCTGACGCTGTCGCGGAACGGGCTGCGCCGCCTCGCCCCCGGCGCTTTCGCCGATCTCCGCGCCCTGCGAGCTCTACACCTCGATGGCAACCGTTTACCGGCGCTGAGCGGCCCGCAGCTCCGCGGGTTGGCTAGTTTGCGCCACCTCATCCTAGCCAACAACCAGCTGGCTGCCATCGACGCCGCCGCCTTTGCCGCCTTCGCTGCCACTGTGGAGGACCTGGACCTGTCGCACAACAACCTGCCGGCGCTGCCCTGGGACGCCGTGGCCGCCATGGGCAGTTTGGCCACGCTGACGCTTGACCACAACCTGCTGGAGCGGGTTCCGGCCGGCGCCGTGGCGCGGTTGCCACGCCTGGCCAGGCTGGACCTCACCGCCAACCGGCTGCGGGCGCTTCCACCGGTGCCGGGGCCACCTGGGCCAGCACTAGCGGCCGGTGGCAACCCCCTTCACTGCAACTGCGAATTGCTGTGGCTGCGTCGCGTGGCTCAGGCGGGCCGCCTGGAGACGTGTGCCACGCCAGCACCGCTGGCCGGGCGGCTTTTGGGCGCCGTGCCCGAGGAGGAGCTGACCTGCCGGGCCCCCGCTGTCACCGCGGCGGCCGCGCACCCGCCCTCAGTCACCGAGGGGCAGCCGCTGCGCTTGGGCTGCGCCGCCGTCGGGGACCCTCCGCCCGCTCTGCACTGGTTGGGCCCCGACGGCCGCGTGGTTCAGAACGGTTCCCGGCGCTCCGTGGGTTCTGACGGCTCCTTGGAGCTCCGCGTGGCCACGCTCAGGGACCACGGCGGCTTCACCTGCGTGGCCGCCAACGCCGCGGG